CGAGAATAAATCCAGTGAAGAGAAGAGCTTGAAGAATGTACAAGCGGTTGAGCAAATCATATGATTTTTTTAGCGGTTTTTTTGTTCCGACTTTTGACCAATATTCACAACTTAACCTAAAATTGGTAAAGAATATCATCACATGGCCAAAATTATCTCACATGGAACTTTAAGAAACTCCACGAAAGTAAGTACAGATCAATATTTTAAAAGCTTATAAGCGAAATTATTAACAAAACAGCATAAAATTATCAAGTGTCCAAAATCCGTAAGAGCATAAGAAAATAAAATTAGAACATGGTTTCAAGTAACCGCTAAAAATAACCATGATCACAAGTTTCTTAATCGAGATGAAAAGGGGATTCTCTGGAATTATATTACCGCTCTGAAGACAAGATTTTCCCTTTATAATGCAGTAAGGGACTTCCATTTTCCTACACAATGCAGGTAACCAGACCACCAACTCGACAAAGTGAACATCATGTGCAATCACCACAAGTTGGTTGAGTTCATACTTCGACGATAGGCTTTTGGGATTTCCCAATTTCCTTCAGCCTAGAGTTGAGCATTCTTCAAAAGGTGGTTTTTCTTTGTGTGTTTGTCCTCTGGCCTATACTTGAAGAGAATTTTGTAAACTGGTTGCTGCGAATTACGAGTACATGATACATTAAGCAACTGATAATTCAGACTATAGGGAACAATATATAGATTTCTAATAACCATAACAAAGTGAATAACTCATGAGATGAGAGTATTACCACGGTTCTTATGTCTTTGAGGAAGGTTTGCTTTTGGCCATTTGAAATACCGAGTAAGATCCTTCTTAGGAAGCAAAGCTCCACCGATACCGGATTGATTTGGCCATCTATCAAACAAAGGATTCGTAGCCTTTGCCTAGAAAACCATAAATCTAATTAGAAACCAGCGAAAATTGATACTTTGAGAACATTAAACAATGCCTGCTTCTTCTTGGTAGCCACTTTCACTCCCTTGTTGCATGCCTAAGAGTCAAAAGATTTAAAAAAAAAAAAGAACAAATCAAGCAAACAGTGATAAGAATTAGAAACACGATTCATATATCATAAGTAGAAGAACACATACGAACTCAGTGCAGTCACAAGGGCTTATTTATAATAGAATCATATATGTTATGCATAGGCTTATGGGTGTACAAAGAATATTACCCAACAACTGATACAAAATTGTTGAAACAAAGGGACAATCTTTGATTCATAAACATAGAATTCTAGTTCTTAAAGTAGTCAAGACCATTTTAAATTGATGGATTTCTCATGTCACGAAAATCAGATAAAAATATGAGTAAACAATGATTGATAGCAATTTGTTGAAACAACAACAAAAATATGGTCGTTTTTTTTTTCACCTGAAGAAGATCTGTTAATATCTCAGAAACCGCAGAGCCATGCCCTTCTACAATCCCCAGGCTAGTAAGGAGAAAGAAATGATATTACTCATGATACGTTTTAAAAGCATCAACCGCGCACATGACATTGATTCTAAGCATTGTTCTTCTGAAAATACATCCACCGAGGTCCTTCCCTTTGTCTCTCACAACCCACCAGAGAAAAGGAATAAAACACACTCTTTTATAAATCCAAAGAGCCATAAGCTTCTACAACCCCGAGGCTAGAAACAGTGATCTGTTTTAGGTTTAGTCTGCAGGTAACCTTTTCTGCTGCTTTGAGGTAAAAGCGACAAATGCTACGAAACTCTGAGCTACATTTACTTGAAACTGAAGATTGAAATGATAAAGCTGGTAAACAAATACATTTCGTAAGAGTATTAACCTAACTTACGTCAAATTAGAGTAAGAAATAAAAATAAGACTTACAGAAGCAGGCATGTCTTGGACGATGGGTTGTTATGGCATTGATTTGTTAAAGAATTTGATCCATTTTTCCCCCGCTCGATCTGCATCTTGTTAGATGAAACCTAACTAAACGAAAGAGATGGGCTGTAAAGTTGCAGGTGCTTAAGATCTATACCTTAGAAATTTGGACATAAAGAGCTCTCTATCACACAGATCATCTCACAACTTTGATTTGTATCAGCATTACTAAATTTGTAGGTAAGCGATTGACCGAAGAATAAAGAGATAAGCAAACATGTGGTCCGTCACCAGACATATCCTTTACAGAAATCGACTCTGCATCCAATTGTTCCATGATCTGCACAAACATTTCTTCAAGCTCGACAATCATATTCCTCTTGATTCAGGATTCCCTCTTATGTGAATCTTAGTTAGCTCATACATCCTAATTTCCATTACATAAAGAAAATGTGGCAGCATCGACAATCTACCGACTTTAAGTTTCATTTTTGTCCAAAAAAAAGAATCGAAAAATGTAATTCCAAAAAAAAAAGAAAGAGGAAGAACATAACAAGGGGAGAAAGAAAATCCTACCTTTGGCTCATGGATTGCATATTAGTTGACAAGCTCTGGTACTGAAACTGCGCATTTCGACTGTTGAATCAAACCCATAAATCCTGGAGACTCCACCACTGAAAGCCGAGCTTTACACAATTCGAACCACTGTTTCTCACGACAGTCAATGAGACATATGCAAACGAAGTAGCAAAGGGTCTGATATGAGACTGAAACAGGAGATAGAAACCGTCGGGGATTGAGAGAGAAATGAAAATAGAGAAGAGAATGAATCCGACTTTTCTAGTAATGATTTGGTTTTTGATGATCATCTTCTGGGTTACCTGCTCGATCAATGAAAACGATTGTTTTTTCATTTTTTGAGTATCCGAAGCTTAGTTCGATGCGAGATTTGGATCTATTGATTCGGAGGTATAGAGATTGAAACGGCAAACCCGCAGAGACGAGAGAAGACACAACGATCCGTATTATTCTGTTGCCGAACCGAAACTTTTTTTCAAACTGCCACGTGTCTCTTTCAAGTGTGCCGACATGGCATCCAATGGAGAGAGCTCGTATGCTT